TTCCTCACTCACTGCTGGTAGGAACTTAAAATGGAACAGCCACATACTAAAGCAGTTCCTAAAAAAGTGACCCTGTGACCCAGCAATTCCACTCCTATGTCTATACCTAAGAGAAATGAAAATATATGCCCACCCAAAACTTGCACACACATGTTCATAGCAGCATTGTTTTTAGTAGCCATGAAAATGGCAGAAATGTTCATCAACTGATAAGAGAATAAACAAAGTGGTACATTCATACAACTGAATGTTATTCAGTCATGAAAAGGAATAGAATACTGAAAAATGCTACAGCGTGGATGAACCTTGGGAATATTATGTCAAGTAAGCCAGGCACAAAAGTTCACATCTCATATGATTCGATTACCATCAAATGTCCAAAATAGGCAACCCATGGAGACAGAAGGTAGCTGAGTGTCGGGGGAAATGAGCAGCGACGGCTCATGGTTACGGGGTTTCTTCGGTGAGTGATGAAAATGTTCTAAAATGTGTTGTAGTGGTAAGAGAATAAACAAAGTGGTACATTCATACAACCGAATGTTATTCAGTCATGAAAATGTTCTAAAATGTGTTGTAGTGACGGGTGCCCAATTGTTAATAATAAACCATCGAGATAGTAGCTGGCAATTGAACTTGCGTCTCTGAGGAAGAACTGTGCTTAAAGCACATTTCAAGTGCTAAGTGTCAACTGGTACACAGGCCCAAGCCAGTAGCTGTCAACCCCAGTGTGACCGCTGCTCTTTCCTGGACTGCCCCCCGGAATTTCCTGGCCTGAGCTACTTCACACAGCGCTCGAACCCACCAAGTGCACTTCTCAGCATTGAGAATCTAAGGATTCTTAGAAACCCTGCAGCCCTCCCTTTGGTTTTCATAGATGAGGAAACTCGCTGAGAAAGGGGTTCGAGCTCACTGGAGACACTCAGCAAGTTCTCCGGAAAGCCGAGAGCAGGCCGGCTCCCGCTGCCTCACCTTCACTTCCTACAGCGTTTCCAGGCCCCTCCGCCTGATCTTCTGAGCACAGTCGGAACTACACTCCTCACAGCCTAGGCATCCAAGTGAGGCCCGGGCAGGAGCTGGAAGGGTCAGGAGGCTGCAGTTTCTGGGAGAGGGCAGGGGGCAGCTCCGGGAGGAGATGGGTCAAGTCCGAGAAGGCAGTGTGAGCTCCTCTTCCCGGA